CAAACCTCTAATGTAATCTAACTGCAGTTGCCTGTTGGCTACTGTATCCTGTGCATCCTTTTCGCCCCTTTCCCCCCAAAAAGCAGGGACAAGCTGCAACGAATAAACATATCAAAATTGCATATTGTTTTAATTGTTTTGTTACTGGGTTTCAGGTTGCGCCCGATGCCAAAACTGCAGATTAACGCATTTACACTGCACTGGATCCTGGGTCCTGCCACCACACATCCCCACCCCTCCCTACACACCCCCACACCCCAAAACACACACACAGTCACGTAGATAGAGCTCCTGGTTTATGCATTTGCATGCACTAAACACGCATAAATTTTGTGTGCAACCGTAAAGATGTCTCTGTCCTCGGCTCGGTGCGTTTGCCTGGTTTATAACCATGGATCGAGGAGTACACAGGGAAAAATATCTATTAAATACGTCCATGTTTTCAACGGTTGATATTTTCAAAAATATTTTGCTATTTATTTGACGAATCTTTAAGTAGACTTCCATTTTTTTAAATACTGTGATGAGATAGAAAGTTTTTAGTTTTATAATCGTATACTAAACGTAAAATCATTTAGTTTCCCAGTATTATTTATTTTCAGTGCGTTTTATTTTCAAGCGATGAAGGGAGAGGTGTGTATAGATGTCTGTAAGGAGTGCTTTGGTGTGGGTGGTGCAGTGCTCTGGTTTATTTGGGATTCATATTTCGATAAACAATTATGCCAGTACCTGGGGAGGAGTTCTCGGCCATATAGCATGCGATGCCTGTAAGCCGTCTTTAAATATGGCAAGTCGTTAAGGTAAGTCCCTTCTCCGCCCTCGATTTCTCACCCGATATTCCCTCATTTCCCCGGCTCCTGTCCATTTTGGTTTTTATACCTCCTTATATGGGGAGTAATGGCAGTGAGGCCGCAATTGAAAATTTATTTTGTGTGCTCATTTTGCACCTAATTTCGAAGGCGGCCCCGAGGAAATGAGTCGGCAAAATGGAGGAAAGAGGAATGAAAATGGGGAGCAGGGGCAAAAGTCATTTTCCGTGCCTGAACCTGAACCCGATCCCTTTCTTCCTTCCTTCGTTTGTTGTATATTTATTTTAGATTTATTGTAATGTCCAGCAAAAAGATTGCCCAACTGGCCTTAGTCCTCTTTAGTTTCTTCTGGGCCCCGATCTGCTTTATCCTTGGCTCCTCTTTTTGTCGAGCCCCCTTCCACCCCTTTCCTATAACTTTTTTGCGACACACGCATTTGGTATGCAGTTTGCGTTTTGCGGCCTGACAGGACATGCCGAAAAAGGACATGGCCGGACTTTTGGACACGGAACACAGGAGCTGGGCCCCAGCTTTCATACGCTCGTTGCACAGGACCTGCTCCGCCCCTCACCGCCCCTAACCGCCCCTCGCGTCCTGCCAACTGGCACTGTCCACTTTGGGCCCCAAATATTGAAAGTAATGTTTACGTTTCCGTTTCCGGTTTAAGTCCATGTCCAAGCCATTCAGCCAGAACGTTTGTATTTCATTTTAAATTTTTGTCATATTCTCTGGCTCTTTATACTTCCCGGCTTCTCTGTCTCTGCGTTGATTGCACAAAATGCAATTTGATTATAGGGGGCAGGCAGGCGAAAACTTGAGTCCTTTGTCTAAGGCCGACTTTTCCTATCTCTTAGCTGGCTCGTTCATTAGCCTAAAGACTTGCATCATCATCATCATCATCATCATCGGCAGCGGCATCGGCATCTCGATAAAAACTTATGACAGACGGCAGTCTAGTTTGTCAGTCAGCCATTCAGTCACTCGGGGCTTTCAACTAATTAGAAAAATACTTGAAAACCATCCGAAAAGCGAGCTCGAAAAAATATTACACATACGCCGCATATGCCAAAGTGTCCAAAGGAAAAACAAAAAAAAAAAACGAAATAGGTAACGCTGGGCGTGTATATGCCGGCATGGGGGCGGTCAGGTGGGCGTGGCCCGTTAGCCAGTGGCGCATAACAAAATTGCGCATTTAGCGAAAATGCAAAAGTGCAAATACGAACATCCGCTTCCGTTGCATCACCAAAAAGCCAAAAGCCAAGCCAAAACCAAAGGGAAGATGGGGTCTACGCGCGCGGGGGATCTATTTTGTGTCCATTTGTTTTGGGTAGTTATGCCTCCTCTTTTGGCTGTCTCTAAGTGCCGTCGTTTTCCAACACTCACTAAGAATTTGGAGGAAGTTTTCCTGCTTTCCCACCTTCCCTCTTGGAAACGGCGCTCGTTGATTTTTACGAGTCTGCCGCCCAGTTTTTGTGCACTGCCCCCCTCTTCACATTCACATTCACATTCACATTTCTCATCCTTCTTCTTTTTCGGGGTTGTTGGACATGTGCCAAAAATTTGACATATGAACTGCAGCCGCCAACGCTGCCACGCCCCCCGACTACCCTCCACCGCCCCCACTGTTTGCTTACATCATGAGCGGTAGCCGCAAAAGAAATCGCACTGCATTATTATCAACTTCAATTTTGTTGTCGACGTTCGTTGTTCGCTAGGCCACAAAAAAACGTTGGCCAGTTAAAAAAAAAGAATACAAAAAGGACCTGCGCTGCATACGTGATGTGCTGCAACAACAACATCAATAAAACAAAAAAACAACTACAACAATTGGAAGAACAAGAGCCACAAAATTGAAATTACATGTTTTACTTATAAGTTGGTTGGCCCGGCCACAAGGCACAATACGAAACAAAACCAAACAGGAGTTGGTAGCAGATTTTCCAGTGGTGGGTGATTGGATGAGGAGTGGGGAGGGGGAGGGGGAGAGGAGGGGTCTATAGGCGAGGGTGCCAAAGGATTGGCCCTCCAAACAGCCAGAGAAGGTGGCTCATTAATTTGCCAAAAGCCAAAGCCAGATAAGCGCAGCTCCACTTGCAGTTGGCCATATGCAAAAGGGCCCCCTTGCACAGCCCCTCAAAAACCCAACCCACGCCACTGTCCTTGCCTCGCCACAGATAAAATCCAATATGGCGCCAATTTTCTCACGTATGACATTTAATTAACACAACAATGTGTCCCAACAACATGGGTGGGGTGTGGGGTGTGGAGTGTGCGAAAAAGGGGGTGCCCCATAGGGGGTCAATACGCACATCCTCTTGTGGGCGGCCAGCAGCGCCGTGAAGTATGCTGCGGTAAATGTTGTCATTAAAAACTGTAAATTATGGCGGCCAGTTATTGTGCGAGCGGCAGCCGTGGAAAATTTCTCGCCTCTTTTATTTTGCCCATAATTTGCTGGGGCCGAGTGGATTTCATCGGTGGGATTGAGCAGAGGCTTATAAGAGATTTTCCTCACTCTACACATTCACCGGGTGACGTCACGAGCCTCAACGGCCAATACCAAGTATGGTCAGGCGTTTATTTTAGATCGGTGAGCGAGCCAACAAGGCTGTCACTTTAACCAGATCTTAACAGCTTCTTGATTGGCAAGCGAGGGCACTGGAAAAAATATTATTGGCTCATCAAGGAATTTAATACTTGGTTTCATTACTCGCAACTCTAAGAGCGATTTTAAAAAATGTTATTAAAGTTGCTTTAAAGGCATATATGTATATTTTGAAGCAAGCTATTAGAATTGATAATGGTGCAAAAGTTCGAATCTGAAAGTACAAGTAGTAAGGAAAAAGACTAATATTTAAATTAACAATTTGCAAATTAATTGATTGGTTGGTTCAAATTTCGAGGAAGCCCAAGAAACTTTTCCAAATTTAAGAATTTTTTAAAATACTATACCATTTCTTAGCTTTTGCCTAATTAAGACTCACAATTTCTTGCAGTGAGGGATCAGATGCTTAACGGCCACGCTTAACTGTAATTCCCGACGGCAGACAAGTGCAGTTAAACGAGTTGCAGACGGCGACTAAGAGAGCGGCGAAGAGAGCTGGTGAGAACAGAAATTCAAGTGCAAACGGCAAATAAATCAAACGGCAAAACCAAGGCGTCGCTGCCGCAGTCGACGTCTACGTCGCTTAACAGTTAATGCAGAGATCTCAAGACCCCCTCCCCCATGCCCACCACCCATTTAGCTTCCTCCCCCACTCCACAAAAGATATAAAACTGCGTCAGTGTGTCAAGTTCGTTTGGGCCACTCCAAAGAGTATAGAAAAGAGAGGAAGTTGGGGAAGAAGAGAACGGAAAAGAGCAGATCGGTTTAATGGCGCGTTTAACTACGATCTCCGATTCTCTATCGCTCTCTTTCCCCTTCCCTGTACCCTTCGCCCTCACTCATGTGCAGTGTGAGGCAACTTTCGAAAGGTAAACGAACTTCCGGTTCGCTGGAGCCTCCATAAATGCGATAAAGAAAAGTTTTTGTTGGATTGCCACCGAAACCCGATATTTCATTCTCTCTCTCTTTTTCTTTCCTTTTTGCAAATTCGCAAATCTCTATATTTGTACAATTGGTCTACCTACACTCACGCAGTTAAAAAAATCGTCTTTAAGTACTTTTGACTGTCTATCTTTTTGAAACTTTGGGGGCTAAGAGGCGGGCGGGGATCCAGATACTACGCAGTAATCAGCAGCTGGCGCTGCTATATAGCTTCCCATTCAGTATCTGATGGGTTCGCTTTGGATTTTGCATAGGTCAGGAACCAACGAGAGAGTATTCGGAATTCTTTTTCACACCCAAGATTGACAAACTGCTGCGCAAATCGAATTACCCATCAGCGATAAAGATTAAGGTACACACATTCACAATCGCAGATTTTTATTAGCATATTCTGAATGGATAAGAAAACAAAAGAAATCGCGTTGAGGAACAGAGCCCCCTGAAAAAAATATACACAATATCCTACACAATCTTGTGTATATGGGGAGTTATAGATTTATATAGAAAGGTTTAAAAAACTTTTCTGCAATGTGAATAATTTATATATTTTCCTAGTCAATATTTATTTAAGAACTCTTCTTTTTCAATCATATTTTTAATTATATATTTTAATTATATTTTTTAATGAACCTACACGCAGAAAAATAGTTGGAAATATACACCTGTGAATTGGATAATACAACTATTTTAAATAGGTGCTGGGGAGCGATCCAATTTGTTGGTTGGATTATCTAGTTTTCTTGGATCCACAGGAATTGGATATATTCACCAACTGAGAGAGTTCGACAAAACAAGCGCTTGTTTGCTTGATCCAATTTTTTGTATATGGTTGGTATTTAGTTGGTTCATAAAACCATCTACCAGTGATATTATATCTATTTTAATTGCTTAAAAAAATTTTCAATAAGTTCTTTATTTTCAAATAAATTGTAATTGAATGAATTTGACGACAAATAGCCTTTTTTCTAGTAGGAGTAACTCTTAAGGAATGGAGGCGATAATCGGAAGTCCTACTCCACCGCTCAGTAGCCTCAACCTCGGGTTCGAGGCATCGTCTTAACCACTCCAGGTCTTCCTTCACTTCACCCTGTTCATCACTCTTTACTCCATCGTCATGAACAGTTGTTGGCTGTTAAGAGAAAAAAAATAAAAAAAGAAACTTTATAGAAATGGAAAGGGACATTTCTCATGACATACCTGTTCGGACTCTTTCGACCGTAATCCTGAAGCACGCAAATCTTTTATTATACAGGTATATTTATCATATAATTTACCCCTGGGCTGCTTCGCGCCTACCAAATTAGTTTTCGGCTGCCTTGGTACGTAGTACGTTGCCTAGAAAACAAAATAGAAAAATAAATTCAGGCATCAATTAATGAGCATGAGAGAACTTACCTTTAAAAAGAACAATCAAAAATTCTGCGTTCTCGGGATCCACATTTTCCAAAAACTCCAAACTTTTTTCATCCATCTCTTTTTGTAGAATTTTCTAGGAACTTAACACAAAAAAAGGGGCAATACCGGAACGAGCGAAGCGAGCGTGGCGAGCAGCCGAAAAGAACAGAAAAGAGTAGGGATGAAAAATGCAAAGCCAATGATAGTCGAGAGTTGATTGTCGATTATTGTAAAATAATCGATGTTATCGATTTTTGTAGGCTTAAAAATTGACAAAAATTGAACACTTTATTTGAATGATTAATTGCCGTTTGTTTTTATTTTCACGTATACGTGTTAAATAATCGTTTGTATGTACTTTTGTGATATTATTTTGGTATATTTAAGTATTGATGATGAATTTTCTCGAATTGAAAAAATTTATTTTCATAAAAAATTTAACTCTTAACCTATAAATTCAACAGAATTTTCGAGGATTGAATAAAGTCAGTCGAATACGATTTTCAACTACGATTAATCGAGTTCTTTTCTGCCTTTCAAAAAAGTTGACTCATTAATCGAAATTCGAATTCCAGTATAAGTCATCATTTCCAACAAAGTTGGCAGTCTTATCCAATTCAAAGCATATAAAAACCAATCGGAGGTATCATTTTTAAATTGCTAAAATAACCATCACCGTTATTTGATCTTTCATTTTAAATAGGTACAACATCCAATTTTTTCTCACCCAATAAAAATTGGATGCTCTTTCTAACCATTTTTCTGCGTGTAAAAAGTATTTTAAATATTATCAAATTAGTATTCATTTAAATGGAACGAGTTTGTTTGATTTATTGCAATTAAAAAGACCATAAAAATAAATAAAATGATATTCTTTAATTAGTCTAACGATTATTTGTATAATTATTCCAAAGTTTTTTCCCTGGAGTTATCATTTTTTGCCTTGTTGGGCAGCACTCAGCCCCTTTCCTTTCCCCATTCTGTCTGCTGGCCATTTAGGCGGCCGACTAATGGCCAAGACATTAGCTTCATGGCCGACTGGCTGCATGGCTGCTTGGCTGCTTGGCGGCAACAATGTTGCGCTAATAACTCGAACGTGCAACAACCTTGCCAGCCGGCACCCCCCGTAGAAGCCCCCACCTCCAACCCCCCTTGGGCCACTTCTCTCCCAGACAGATTGAGACCAATTAGTGTGGCTCAGAAATCCGTTTGCTGCAAACGGAACTGCAACGGGCGGCTAACTGTTAGTCCGCTGCGCAGCAGCAACAGCAACAGTAACAGCAGCAGCAGCAGTTGCAGCAGCAGCTTTAGCTTTAGATTCAGATTCAGCTGCCGCGTGGAATGCTGCATGCACGCGACTCTTGGCTCTCATGCAGTCTGAGCCAAGTTTCGCAGTTTCAGCCAAGAGTCAGCGATCTCTGCCAGCAGCGCCTAGACGATCGCGGCCTACTTTCTCCACATTCCACCGGCGACTTTGCTGGCCAACTTGTGCAGCCAGCGCGCCAGCAGAAGAAGCAGCAGCAGAAGTGCTGCCAGAAGTTACAAAAAAAAAAACTAGACAAACCACATAAAAAAACCCAGATCAAACAGCCCTGCAACCTTTTTTCGCAGTGATCGCAGCTTGAAATTCCTGAAACTTAAAAACTTAAATTATTAACTGGAATTCTAATTCGCTTTGTATAAATGATCTAGTTTTATAATCGTTGTTTTATATTTTTTTAATCTATTTAATAAAGAATTTTATTTTCACAACTTAGGTTTATTTTTATTTTCTTTATATCGAAGAGTTCTTACCTAAGTTAATTCCTTTAACATAAAATGTTTTATTTTATATTACTTACTTTAATTGTTGTAAGCCCTTTTGGGAACTTTTATTAAAACGGTTGCTTAAAAGCAATCCTGTGATATAGAAGGGTAGAGCCCCTTAGACCATATTAATTTAATTTATATTATGTTGGGATATTGGAAACCCTAACGTTTTATGATTTCCTCTTGCTTGTATAAATACTCTTATTCTCTGTATGTCTCTTTTGATGATTTATTTATATATCCCTCGGAATTAGTGATTCTGCGGTGCCGGAAGTTGGACTTTAATCGGGCTCCAGACTTCTGGACATGCTCCATGGATCCGCTGACGCCTCTGCCGCTTCTATGTCGCTGTCGCTGCCTCTGCCTCTGCTGACCAGTGGGCAGAGCGCTTTTACCGCTTTTACAGTTTTAACGATTGCATAATCTGCGTTGCCGTTGGCGTCGCTGCTCGCCAAGTCAGCTGTTTAACGCGTTTTTTCGTTGGTTTTATTTATTTTGTATTTGTTTGTTCGTCGGTCTGAATGAATCTACGAATGTACGGATGTGTGTGCGGGCAGCACACTGTTCATTCAAATGTGGTGATTACCGCTCTTACAATCACACACCGAAAGTGTGGCAATCTCATTTCGCTTGGCGATCGCTTACCGCTTTACTGTTGTTGGTCTTGTTGTACTTATTGTTGTTCTTGTTGTCGCTCTGCACGCGCCGCTTCGCACTTTTAGTTCATTTACCTGGACTAGTCTAACTGTTCATCTCCACCTCCGTTTCTCCCCGGATTTCCAGATTTCTTTCGGTTTTCGGGGGTCTTAAAATAGCCGCATGATTTATGTATTTGCGGTTGCTCCACGAGTCGAGCGTGTCTTGCATGATTTCCACAAGAAACCGCAGCAACAAGACTCCACTTCCACTTCCCCCTGCTCTTCGCCGAACCCATTTTAACCCGGTCTTCCCTCCGTCTTGGTTTCCCAAAACTAAATTTCCTCTGTGTGTCTCTCAAGCCAAGACTAGAAGCCCACTTAACACAACTACATTTTTAATTCTAATTAAAAACTCTTAAAAGCTTAGATTTGTATTACTACCTTTTCAATTTCAGGTCTGACCTTCTGAAATCCAAGCTAAAAGGCTTAGAAATATAAAATGTTTCTTTAAAAACAATAATTATTGGCATTGTCATCTAAACAAAAAAAAGTTAGAATAGTCAAAATTATACGTACAGATTTTCAGGTTGACATAAGCACGTCAAGTTAATGACGGTTCTACGAGATTGTGTTAAAGACTGAATAAAAAGCTTTCAGGAAAGTTTTATGTTTATAAAATGATCTTTATTCTTAACTCTCAAAAAAAACTAGTTAAGAGAAAATGTATTAGGTCCAAGAATAGATAATAAGAGTCCAAAACTGATTAGGTCAAAGTACAAGTTTTAATTGTAATTTATTTAACTTCCAAAGGCCATCGATATTCCCAGCTAATCGAGTGCCTTAACTTAACTTATTCTAAAAAGAAAGAAAAGTTGACTTTTTGTTTGTTACTCTCGAATATATTGTAAACCGAGCAGCAGAGAGGACCTCGTTCGATTTTTAACTGCAGCAGAGCCAAGGGTTTGTCTGCTGCCGATAAGTGACAGTCAATAAATGCAAAATTAAATACGAGGAAACAAATTGATTTATTAATGGGCCGACTTGACAACTTGTCCTGTCCAATGCACTCCGTTTTGTCGGGACATCCTTGGCTGCTTTGGATCCTCTGGGACTGATGTCTGCCTCAAGATGCTGGACCGAAATCTTTCCGGCAGCTTGGCAGCCGGCAGCCGGCTGAGTTTCAAATTAATTTCGATTTGTTGTTCCAGCTTGTTGCAACTTGATCCTTGAGGAATTTTCCGGCCTGCAAGCTTTTGCTAATTGTTATTGCGTAGTCTCCGTGTCACTGACTTTCTGCTGCCGCAGCTGCCCCTGCTGTCTCCCTGAGGCCACTTTGTTTATTGGCTTCCGAGCTTCTGAGCTTCCGAATTTGGACTACGAGTATTGGTGTTAAAATTTAAAGCGGATTTGCATTTGTAAACAAGTCTTTCGAATTGCCTCCTTTAATTGCCCTTAATAATCCCCGTTGGCCATAAATAAAGGCAGCACATGAGTTACGAGTGTACGAGTTGCACATTTTTAATGCGTTTCGTCGTTCGGGGCACTCTTGATAATTAGCGAGTGCCACTGACACTGCTGACCCCCGGATCCCTTCACAATTTATGGCACTGGCCAGGGACATTGCTCAACCGACTTGTCACAAATTGAATCCGGATGGGGAATGCAAACGGGCGCCATTTGTCGTCCAAAGTCATCCATAATGCAGAGCGTGGCAGCACCTCCAAGCTGAACCCAAGCCGAATCCAAGCTGAATCCAAGCCGAGGCGAAGGCTGGAGGCTGAAGTGGCGTCCAATTGACAGGACCGTGTCTCCTGTCAGGCGAACCACGCCCCCGCACCCTGCCGTGTCCTTTTGGCCATTCATCCTCTTACCTGGGTACGAAATTCATTGAATTTCAAATGCGATTCGCCTCGATTGCCGGACTATTCTCTGCTTTTTTCTCGGCCAGCAGTGGCAGCAGCTCAATTGGCCAGTTCCAAAGTTGGCCACTTCAATTTGCATTCGTCCGTTCATGATTCATTCAGGGAAAACTCCTGCCCGGAACGTATTAATTATTTTTGCTTCATTTTGTGTTGTTTTTCCGCTGCTTAACACCTGCTGTTGGTGGGGATTCGGACTTGGACTCGTACTCCCAGCTCCCTTGACGTGCGTTACGTATACGCAGCGTTGACGAGTGTTAAGCATACGCAGCGTGGGCCAGGTGATGATGAGTTACGAGCGACCCTTAGTGTTAACCTAATCAGAATCCAGCACATTTGTCATCATCCTGAGCAGACCCTAACCATAATATATACGCCCTGGCGAAAATGTGAAATATGATCTCATCATTTTTCATAGGTGTCCTCAATGATTTAAGCTCGCAGCAGTCACTTGTTAACAATTAAAGTCAAGAGCTGTAACCTTTTGCCGGCGACACGAGCGTGGAAAAGGAAAATGCAGGAAAAGCGAGCGATGGCAGCACAATAAATAAAAGATGCAAAGCAACGAACAACGAACAACGAAATAAGAAACTATGGTGGAGGATTGCCTTCGGTATGCTCAGCTCTGCTCCTTCGGTGGCTCCTTGTATTATTATGAGCGATGATGATGTTGCTGCGCCTGCTTCCTGCAGCTCCTGCCACCAACGACTTGCCTGCATTCTCCCGCTGACAGCGCAAAGTTGAATTGTTTATTTGACTTTTAGTTGTTTTCTTGCCGTTGAAATGCGAGCTGGCTGCTCGCAAAATCGGGGGGTAGATTGAAGAAGTCGAGGCAAGTTTCTGCCCTTTGGCTTCAAAGAGTTCTGAGGAGAACTTTCTGTCGTTCGTTCGCTTGTTGCTGCCGCTGTTTTCCTTTAGTTTTCAGCACTCCCCCCCTCCCCAGTCTATGTATAGTAACTCCCCCTCAGCCAGTCAAACAAGTTAAGTACACAATATGCAAAGCATCCTGCCCCTCAATCCTTCGCTAGCCCATCCATTTTGGCCACAGGACACGGCCGCAGTGCAGAGCAAACTGTTGCTGCTCCCGGCAATCAAATGAGACCCCATTTCTCCCCTTTCTTCATACCTATACAGAGAAAAATATAACCTTAATGGGCAATCAATTGTATTTGCTTTTATCTTTTTAGAAACTTGCTATTACTTAAAAGATATTTTTGAAGAGCACAACACAATGAGGCAAAAAAATTGATTTTTAAGATAGAGCGGCATATGTAGTGGTCATCATTTAACATAGAAATTATACAAC